GGAAAGTTCAGCACAGCAATTATTTGTTTCTTCTAGCCCAAACAATCCTTGGTTAGCTTTCTAAAACAAATTTTGGATCTCCTAATGTTGGGCCATTAATATATTTCTATTAAAAGTAACAAACACTGTACTACAATAATTAAAATTTAGTTATTGACTCTACTAATTTATATTTTTCAACCACTGGACCTCTCCCTGTCCTCTCCTCCCCAATCTCTCCCACTCCCATCCCCCGCCCCACCAAAAAAAACTTCATACTGATATCTGGACAAAGTAGATTGATTATACTATGTGGACATTCTATTTGAAAAAAAAAAANTCCTAACAAGGAAAGTTCAGCACAGCAATTATTTGTTTCTTCTAGCCCAAACAATCCTTGGTTAGCTTTCTAAAACAAATTTTGGATCTCCTAATGTTGGGCCATTAATATATTTCTATTAAAAGTAACAAACACTGTACTACAATAATTAAAATTTAGTTATTGACTCTACTAATTTATATTTTTCAACCACTGGACCTCTCCCTGTCCTCTCCTCCCCAATCTCTCCCACTCCCATCCCCCGCCCCACCAAAAAAAACTTCATACTGATATCTGGACAAAGTAGATTGATTATACTATGTGGACATTCTATTTGAAAAAAAAAAATCTACAAAAAAACAAGGGAGAAAGTAATATAAAAGTTCAAGGACAGGGACTGGTGAGGAAGAGTTCTTCCCTGCACTACAGAAAGGTAAGAGATGAGGGGTTCCTTCAACAGGGCACAGTGGGGAAAAAAAATATTTAAGAACTAAGTTGAGAACAGGCTTGCTGAGTAAATAAATTCCAATAAAAGGAACTGTACAAAGAATTTTTGTTTTTGCTGTATGTCAGGAAGAGTTGGAGAAAGGAGCAGTGTTTAAACAGAGAAATAAAGCATAAGTATCGAAAACAAACAGACCCTTCACATGGTCTGACCATGCCGCACACCACAGGCTCCACAATCTATAATCCAGGACCCTCTTCATTGGGCCTCAGCTTCTTCACTTGAAGTGTGGGGAGGAAATTAAAATGTGCTTCTCTATAACTTCCACACAACAGTCATAGTTATGCCTATAGTAACAAAAAACAATCTAACTGGCATTAGCTATACACGGGTAGAAGGCATCTTATTGTGGTGTTGGAAATGTTCTAAACCTGGATTGTGTTGATGGTTGCACAACTCAGTGAATTTACGAAAAATTATTACATTGTTTACTTAAAACAGGTGAAGTTAATTGCATATAAAGTAATCCTCAATAATATTGGTTTTAAAAATCTATCTCACTCTTCTTCATGGCAGCTCTTCAAATACCCTCTAGTCTCCTCCAAGAGGAAAAAAAAGCCCAAATGCCTGCACAGAATATTATTTTTCAATTTATTATAGTCCAGTTTGCCCAATGTCCTTTTAAAAATTTAGAATTCAAGACTAAACACAATTTCCAGAGTGTTTAGTTTTTTCAGAATTAATGGGCTTCCTTAGAGAAATGCCTATTCAGCTCCTTTGCCCATTTTTTAATTGTGTTTACTTGGTTTTTTGCTGTAAAGTTGTTTGAGTTCCTTCTATATTCTGGATATTAATCCTTTGTCAGATGTATATTTTGCAAATATTTTCTCCCACTCTGTTGGTTGTCTTTTAACTCTGTTAATTATTTCTTTTGCTGCACAGAAGATTTTTAGTTTGATATAATCCCATTTGTTTATTTTTCCTTTCGTTGCTTCTGTTATGGGGGTCATATCCATGAGATCTGTACCCAATCCTACTTCCTGGAGTGTTTTCCCTATGTTTTCCTTAAGGAGTTTTATTGTTTCAGGGTGTATATTTAATTCTTTAATCCATTTTGTGTTGATTTTGGCATATGGTGAGAGGTATGCGTCTAGTTTCATTCTCCTACATATGGACATCCAGTTTTCCCAGCACCATTTGCTGAAGAGGCAGTCTGTTCATCAGTGTGTAGACTTGATGCCTTTGTTAAAGATCTGATGGCTGTACAGACACATGAAAAAATGTTCAACATCACTCAGCATTTGGGAAATGCAAACCAAAACCACTTTGAGATACCATCTCACTCCAGTTAGGATGGCTAATATCCAAAAGACTGAGAATGATAAATGCTGGCAAGGTTGTGGAGAAAAAGGAACTCTCATACATTGTTGGTGGGACTGCAAAATGGTGCAGCCTTTATGGAAAATGGTTTGGAGGTTCCTCAAACAATTACAGATAGATCTATCATATAACCCAGATAATCCACTGCTGGGAATATACCCAGAGGAATGGAAATCATCATGTTGAAGGGACACCTGTACTCCCATGTTTATTGCAGCACTATTTATAATAGCAGAGTTGGAACCAGCCCAAATGTCCATCATCAGATGAGTGGATATGGAAAATGTGGTATATATCTAAACAATGGAATACTACTCTGCTATAAAAAAAGAACAAAATACTACCATTCACGGCAACATGGATGGACTTAGAAAAAATTATATTAAGTGAAATAAGTCAGGCACAGAAAGAGAAATACCACATGTTCTCACTTATCTGCGGGAGCTAAAAATAAATAAATAGATATATAAACGGGGGAGTGGGCAGGGAAGAAGACAGAACAATCATAATTCCTTTAAGTTATTAAGACAAGTGAACAGATACAATGTTGACGGGTGGTAGGGGGTAGAGGCAGGGGGGAAAGAGGAATCGGTAAAGTGACATGAAAATCAACTACATTGTATATTGATAAATTAAAACAAAAATATTTTTAAAAAGAATTAATGGGCTTGCTACTCAGCTAAATTGGTATATTTTACTCTGGTAAATAATTGGTGAATACTCTGTGGTAAATACTCTGGTAAAATAATAATACCCCAGTAGCTTAAGACTGTTTAAACAACCATATCACAGTTCGATTATACTGTATATAAACCCAAACAAAATCTCTAGACATTTTTATCCCCTACAATCAACTGGCAAGGAAATTTACTATGACTCAGATAGTGTACAATATAATTTTTTTCACTTAAAAATTAATACTAATGAAAATTTGAGGAAAAATTAAAGGAGAGAACAAAAATCTCTCTCTCTCTCTCTCCTTCTCGCCATGTGATATGCCTGTACCCGCAGCCTGCACCTCATGTATCCCAGAATCATGAGCCAAATAGGCCTCTTTTCTTTATAAACTACCCAGTCTCAGGTGTTATGTTATAGCAACGCAAAAATGGACGAATACACCTTCATTCCCTTGGGACCACATCTAGTTCCACAGTTTAAAATTAAGTCCATCTATATATTCAGACAACTCTCAAAATTATATCTCTAGACGAGACCTCTCTCCTGAACTCCAGACTTATATGTATGATGCACACAGACACACAAACACACACATAAACTTCCATTATATATGCATTACATACATATACATCTGTTTATTCAACAAGTCCCACACCAAATTCTGGACTTTACCAACTACCCCACCAATCTTTCCCATGCATAACCTTCCCCATCTCAATTGATGGGCCACTCCATCTACAGGCAGTCATCTTTTACTCCTCTCTTTCTCTCACACTACACACCCATTCCAAAAGCACATTTGATTGGTTTTGCCTTCAAAATATATCCAGAATCTGACCAACTTTTCACCGTCTCCACTGTTACCATCTTGGCCAAACCTTTGCCAACTCTCACCTGTACTATTAACAACAGCTTCCAAACAAGTCTCCCTGCTTATATCCTTGCCTCACCCCCCGCTTCACTATAATCTATTCACACACTTCTGAGTGATCCCTTTCAACATAAGGCAAGTCACATCAAAACAAAGCTGCAACGGCATTTGTATCACTAAAGAGTAAACAACAAAATCCTTTCTCTGACCCTTTTTTACATCTCTGACCTTTTCTCTTTTGCTCATTCTCACCTCACTCAAGTCTTTTGTATTTTCTGGATGTTCTTCAATAAGAATGTATTTATTTCCCTTGAAAACTGGTTGTTTAAAGGACCCTGGCACCTTCTCTCTCTCTCTCTCTCCTTCTCGCCATGTGATATGCCTGTACCCGCAGCCTGCACCTCATGTATCCCAGAATCATGAGCCAAATAGGCCTCTTTTCTTTATAAACTACCCAGTCTCAGGTGTTATGTTATAGCAACGCAAAAATGGACGAATACACCTTCATTCCCTTGGGACCACATCTAGTTCCACAGTTTAAAATTAAGTCCATCTATATATTCAGACAACTCTCAAAATTATATCTCTAGACGAGACCTCTCTCCTGAACTCCAGACTTATATGTATGATGCACACAGACACACAAACACACACATAAACTTCCATTATATATGCATTACATACATATACATCTGTTTATTCAACAAGTCCCACACCAAATTCTGGACTTTACCAACTACCCCACCAATCTTTCCCATGCATAACCTTCCCCATCTCAATTGATGGGCCACTCCATCTACAGGCAGTCATCTTTTACTCCTCTCTTTCTCTCACACTACACACCCATTCCAAAAGCACATTTGATTGGTTTTGCCTTCAAAATATATCCAGAATCTGACCAACTTTTCACCGTCTCCACTGTTACCATCTTGGCCAAACCTTTGCCAACTCTCACCTGTACTATTAACAACAGCTATCCCAAAAGGACTTGGTTCAGAGAGCTTACGGATTCCTGACCACATAGAAGTTCCTAGTGGAACAGTTGAGCGGGCATGGAAGCTTTGCGCGTCTTCCCCCCCACACGTTGCCCTGTGCGTCTCTTCATCTGTATTCTTTGTAATAACCTTTATAATAAACCAGTGAATGTAAGTGTTTCCCTGAGTTCTGTAAGCTTCTCTAGCAAATTAATCGGACCCAAGATGGGGGTTGTGGGAGCCTCAGTTTATAGCGGGTGGGTCAGAAGCACAGGTAAAACAACACGTGGCTTATGATTGGCACCTGAAGTGAGGGGGTGTAGACTTGGGGACTGAGCCCTTAACTTGTGGGATATGACGCCAACTCTAGGTAAATAGTGTCCGGACTCAATTGGAAGACAGCCATCTAGTGTGCACTGCAGAACTGATGGCTTGCTTGCTGATGAGAAATCCTCATATATCTGGTGTCAGAAGTTTGTGAGAGTATTAGTGTAATGGGAGAAACAAAACTGTTTTTTGTCACTGAACAGCCGTCAAATAAAATTGGTTGTATTTTTGATGGAGTGACTGCTTAAAAATACAGGGACTAATGTGAATAACCGTAAAAAGTACAGGAGTATTTGGTTCTAGCTGAGAGGACCTATTTGTTAACTAATAAAACCACTTATTCATCTTGTTTATCAATAAAGAAGAGATTCTATCAGAAATGCTGTCTGTCTTTTAGTGAGTTCATCAGGGATTTGAGACCTTTTCTGTTACCCAGAGTTTTATGTTATATTCTAATAGATTATGTAAGCTTTCATGGCTTATTTTGAGACAATAAAAAATAAAGTACCCATATATATAAAATTGAAGGAACATTGAAGGAATGCATCCTTGAGTTGAATGTTTCTTAGCCAACAAACAGTAAGTGGCCCTGATATGTGAAAATTGATTTTCATAACTGGATATTAATTCGTTTCTTTGTCTACTCTTCCTACTTAAGAATTGAGGTAATAGTCTTTGGCAAGTTAAAAGTACCTCTCTTAACCAAGAAATATTGCATCTTTCAGAATTTCTAAATAAATGGCATTGTAGACCATAAAAGGAGGCAGTAATCTAAAAGAGAGAAAAAAAAAAAAAAACAACTCATGAGCAATCCTCATTAGAACTATTTTTAGTCATATCCACGGGCCACTGATTATTCCCAATTCAAAAAAGCAGAAGATAACTTTTTGAAGATGATAATAAATGTTACCTCTCCCCCTTTCCCCCAGCATCTTTCCAAATAGGCAAACTTGTAACAGCTGGAGAATCTGATACTATTTGTTATAATTACCTTTTTTTTCAAATAGGCAAACCTGTGGCAGCTGGAGAATTCTGGGACATAGTTGCAATAACAGCAGCTGATAAAAAACAGGAACTTGCTTATAAGCAACAGCTGTCAGAAAAGCTGAGAAGAAAGGAGTTACCCCTTGGAGTTCAATATCATGTTTTTGTTGATCCTGCTGGAGTCAAAATTGGTACGCATTTTATGGTCAGGTTTATAACATCGTTTCTGGACAGAATAATCATTGCAGAAAAGCTTTTCTGTGTCTTACAGTTTATAAGCTGCATATCTCCACTCATGGCCATTATAAACTTTAAAATCTGAATGTAAATTCTTGTTTAGAAAGATAAAAAGCTTAGCAACTGTTCTTACCCATTGTGACTTACTCTAAAAAACTTCCAGAATGTTATTTAAAAGAATTTTATTAGTTTTAATAAAATTTACTCAAATGGTAAATATTCTTTTGGATCTTATCAGTAGGGGCCTTAAAGTCCCTCCCCACCCCAAAGTTCCTTCAGAAATTTATATGAAGAAAACAAATTAGAAGAAAAATATATACTTGGCCTCTTGGGATCACAGTGCAGAATGCAGAAGAACACAGTCTAATGGCTTAAGTGTTATAGAATATTTAGTTTTAAAAATATATCTATATTTACTTTTAAACCATGGTTTAGGTCAACCTTTCCCTTTAACCTTCCATTGCAAATAAAGATAAATGCTATTTTCCTGAAGGCTATTTTCCATACTTAAAGCTGAAGCCCTTCATACCAGGTATAGTATATACGTATATGACATTAGTATTTTTCTAATTAGCCAATATTGTTTTAATCCTCAGAACTATGAGGTCAGTAATTTTATTATTCCTATTGTGTAGATAAGAATCTGATGCACAGGAGTTAAATAACTTGCCCAAGGTAGCTAGTGTGGTAGTGATATTTAAGCTGTTTTTTAGGAAACCAGGTTCTAAAAATCTTTTTAGAAAGGAAATCTAATATTTGTATATTTGATTATGTCATATGGGAGAAGTACAGTCATGCATCGATTAACAACAGGAATACATTCTGAGAAATGCATTATGAGGTGATCTCATCATTGTGTGAACATCATAGATTGTGCTTCACAAACCTGGACGGTATACACTACAACATACCTAGGCTGTATAAGATAGCCTATTGTACTGAGCTACAAACCTGTAGGGCATGTTACCGTACTGAATACTGTAGGCAATTGTAACACAATTGTATTTCTGTATCTAAACATAGAAAAGGCACAGTAAAAATACAGTATAAAAGGTAAAACATTGTATAGCTATACATCCTATGGATGGATCTTATAGGACTGGAAGTTTCTCTGCAAGTTTCAGTGAGTAAGTGGTGAAGGAATGTGAAGGCCTAGGACATTACTGTAGACTTAGGCTATACTATATTTAAAATATTCTTTCTTCAATAAATGCAAAAGTATTTTCTTTATATCCTTATTCTATAAGCTTTATTCTATTTTTTAAATATTTTATTTTTACTTTTTAAACTTTTTTTGTTAAAAACTAACACTAACGCACACATTGGCCTAAGCCTACACAAGGTCAGGATCATCAATATCACTATCTTCCACCTGTATATCTTGTCCCACTGAAGGCCTTCAGGGGCAATAATATGCATGGAGATGTCATCTTCTATGGTAATAAAGTCTTCTGGAATAACTCTTGAAGGACCTTACTGAGGATGTTTTACAGATTTTTTTTAATAAGTAAAAGAAGTATACCATCATATATGTGGTCCATTATTGACCAAAATGTTGTAGGGCACCTAAATGTAAGTGGATTTTGTGATTTGTAACTCCATATGAATGTTTATACTTAACAGAGTATACCATCATATATGTGGTCCATTATTGACCAAAATGTTGTGGGGCACCTAAATGTAAGTGGATTTTGTGATTTGTAACTCCATATGAATGTTTATACTTAACACTCATACTAATGTTACAGATTGTGTAATTTATAATTATTATTTTGGGGAGAATATTAGCTCATTATTTATTACTAAGGGCTGCTTTCCAGGTTTCATTACTAATTGTTTGTTTGCTGCGAGATATATTTAATTTTATTTTGCCAATAACTTTGCTGTCTGTCTACTGAGTTTATTACAGCCAAAAGCCATATCTTTAAAGTTATCACATCTAAATTTACCATCATTACAAAATTTTAGTAGATGTGTATGAAATAAATTGTCATTTTTAACTTTATTTTTAAGGAAATGGAGGATCAACACTTTGTGCCCTTCGATGTTTGGAAAAGCTATATGGAGATAAATGGAATTCTTTTACCATTCTATTAATCCACTCTGGTAAAGTTATTGATCCACTTCACTAATTTACATTTTCTTTTGAGTATTTCACCTTTGATATGTTAGGGATTTTTTTCTCCCTTGTAAATACTTTCCTTTTCCTTTCTTTTTTTTTAATTCTTGAAGTTATTCTGCTTTGAAAACAAGTATTTCATGCTTTTCTTGGTATTTTTAGCTTGTAAGTAGCATAGTAATTTTTATAAAATTTATCCTTAATATTGTAGGTCACATACATCATCACATCAACTTTTCATAGATGTTGTTTGGGTTTTGGTATGCATATAGAAAACTATTTTCCTAAGACAGAACTTATTAAAATTTGAACATTTCTCCTCTACTCATGGTTTAGAGTGGATTCTTGCTGTAGGAGAGAGACTGGTTTAGTACTGTCATTACTAAATTTTGGGCAAAACTTTCTGCCTTGCAGTTTTGTCTGATTATTGATAGCCACAGTCTGCAATCTTTAAAAGAATTTTAAAAATAAAAGAAAAAAATGATTAGACATGGAGTTAACAAGTAAGGATATAAGGAGAAACACACAGAAGAGGATATTCTAAAACAGAAAAGTAGAAAGGACATATTCTTAGAATAAAAGATAGTTTTTTAATTGATTTATTTTTAATTTAATTTATTACTTTTCTTCATATGCTAGGGTGCTGATGAAAACTTTGTCATGGACTGACACTAGTCCAGCGACAGGTATTTTAGAACCAATCATTCATCTACATGGTTTCCAACACACTCTCTAATTCTTTTGATTCGTATACAGAAAAGTGATTCTTTGTAACGATGATGTATAAGTAAAGTATCCAGGTTCTGGTTTTAAGACTAATTAAAAAAAATTTTTTTTTTCCTTTTTGTCTTTTTCCATGTCCGGCAACGGATCGCAACCCTCAGCGTCGCCCCCGCACCGGACCGGGACCAGCAATGGGATCGCAACCCTCGGCGTTGCTCCCGCGCCTCGCTCAGCCAGTGAGGGGGAACCGGTCTGTATGTGGGATCCGAACCCTCGGCGGGAGCGCCGCCGCGCTTCCCAAGCGGCGCACTGTAGCAGTGCGCCACCGGGCCGGCCCTAATTAAAAATATTTTTTAAAAAAATTTATAATTTTGTTTTAGAAAAAAAATATTAACAATTTAGTAAAAATTAAATTAGACACCAAAAAATACATACTTAAAAATAGATAATTCTTATAGTGCTAAGCTTTACTATTGGCTAGTCTTTGGAAAAAGGAAAAATAGAAAACTATTATTAGCTCTCATTTGTTGAACATGTACTATGTGCCAAGTGCTTGAAATGTATTGTCATAAAATATGAGACAAGTATTCTACATTTGCTGATTTGGAGTAAATCCAAAGATGAACAACTAAAAAGTGGTGAAACAGGTTTGAACTCACTCTAACTCTTTGTCTTTCTCTTGCTATGTAAGCCTGCCTCTCAATATAGCTAGTTACAAAAGATGCAAGATATTTAATGTGCTTAAGAGAACACACTTTTCAAGGAATTGAAAAATTACAAAACTCATCTTAGAAGGAAAAAGCCTGTTTAAATTAAAAACAAGTATACATTTAAAAGTGCTTTATTTCCTTTAAGTGTATGTAATAATTTGGGTTGGCTGGTTTGCTCAATTGGTTAGAGCAGAGGTGCTGATAACACCAAGGTCAAGGGTTTTGATCCCAGCCACAAAAAGAAAAAGTGTATGTAATACTTTGAGGAAAGACACTGCATCTGGAAATTAGTGTTTAATCATTATATTTCAGAATTGGCATATTAGTTTTTTATAACTTTTCTTCCCTATGAAGTAGATTTTTAATGTAGGAATTTAAATATGGCTGAAATGTATCTTTTAAAATGTAAATACAAAATCATGTAATCCATGGTCTTTATTTGTTATCCATTTGATTCAAAACAATTCACAGGCTCTGCAGTATGTTAGAGTTCTTTCCTAATCTAGATTCTTTAAAACTTCATTATATCAAATGACTGCAGGAGAATAGCTATTTGAATTTTTAACTTGCATGTCATTATTCTTTCCTGAGTTACAGTAACAGGTTGTGTATATTAAATATCTTTAGAGACATTTTGAGTTGTAACTGATACCCTGGGTTTTAAAAATCTTGCAAATAATAACACATTTTAAATATTTTGTTTCATTTTATAGGTGGCTATAGTCAACGCCTTCCAAATGCAAGTGCTCTGGGGAAAATTTTCACTGCTTTACCTCTTGGTAACCCCATTTATCAGATGTTGGAATTAAAACTAGCCATGTACATTGATTTCCCCTCACATATGAATCCCGGGGTTCTGGTTACCTGTGCTGATGATATTGAACTTTATAGTATTGGAGAACTTGAGTTTATTAGGTTTGACAAACCCGGCTTTACTGCTTTAGCTCATCCTTCTAGTTTGACTATGGGTACCACACATGGAGTATTTGTCTTAGATCCTTTTAATTATTTGGAACATGGAGACCTTGAATACCGGTGTTGTCATTGTTTTCTTCATAAGCCTAGCATAGAAAAAATGCATCAGTTTAATGCTGTGTATAGACCTAGAAATTTTTGTCAAAAGGACTGTGCTGGAGGTGACACTGCCTGTTTTAGATTAGACTCTGAGTATGTGTACACAGATAGCCTATTTTATATGGATCATAAATCAGCTAAAAAGTTGCTAGCTTTTTATGAAAAAATAGGCACAGTGAACTGTGAAATAGATGCCTATGGAGACTTTCTGCAGGCTTTGGGACCTGGAGCAACTGTGGAATACACCAGAAACACATCAAATGTCACCAAAGAAGAGTCAGAGTTGGTAGATATGAGACAGAGAATATTTCATCTTCTTAAAGGAACATCACTAAATGTTGTTGTTCTTAATAACTCCAAATTTTATCACATTGGAACAACTGAAGAATATTTGTTTCATTTTACTTCTGACAGCTGGTTAAAGTCAGAGCTTGGGTTACAGTCCATAGCTTTTAGCATTTTTCCAGATATATCAGAATACTCTGGTAAAACATCTTGTGTTATTCAAAGTATACTGGATTCAGGATGTTCTGTGGCACCTGGCTCAGTTGTGGAATATTGCAGATTGGGGCCTGATGTTTCAGTTGGGGAAAACTGCATTATTAGCGGTTCTTGTATCATAACAAAAGCTGTCCTGCCTGCATATTCTTTTGTGTGTTCCTTAAGCCTGAAGATGAATGGACAATTAAAATATTCATCTATGGCATTTGGAGTGCAAGACGACTTGAAAAAGAATGTTAAAACATTGTCAGATATAAAGTTACTTCAGTTCTTTGGGGTCTGTTTCCTGTCATGCTTAGATATTTGGAATCTTAAAGTTACAGAGGAACTGTTCTCTGGAGACAAGACGTGTTTGAGTTTGTGGACTGCTCGCATTTTCCCAGTTTGTTGTTCTTTGAGTGATTCGGTTACAACGTCTCTAAAGATGTTAACTGCTGTCAAGAACAAGTCATCATTCAGCCTGAATAGCTATGAGCTATTGTCCATTGAGGAAATGCTTGTCTACAAAGATGTAGAAGACATGATAACTTACAGGGAGCAAATTTTTCTAGAAATTAGTTTGAATAAAAAGCAATCTGATTTAGAGATATCTTAATATTGTATACTTTGTCTTTCTCTGAGCAAGACTGCAAATATAGGCATGTTCATAGACTTTTTTTTTCATTTTATTTCACTGAAGTGAATTAATGAAAACTGTATTAATGTAATTGCTGTGGCATAATATTAATAATACAAAACTACAGCTAAATTATATTTTGATGGAAGAATAGTTCCATTATAGATGTATTTTATCTTTACACACTCAAACATGTTCATATACCTTGTAAATTTTGCCTAACATTCTGTTCCACAGGAAAACACATATCTATACAAAAATCTCAGTTATCTCTAGGGAAAGTGGTAGGAATAATTGAGATTCACTGATAGTCATATAATTTCACTATGGACATTACTTTCATCTCCTATTAATCCCTTTAACAGAACTGTTAAGTTACCAGATGGACTGATTTTACTTTCCATTTCATATTTCCTGTTTATACACTGGTGATGATGCTGAGAAGTAATATGTGGCCAAAAGGTAGACAGCAGGAGGGAGGCAGAAGAATAGAAAAACTGAGATAATATGCAGATGATAAACAGCTTCAGGAAAATAAAAATTGGCTAGAATCCCAACTTGCATGCTTATACCGAAATAGAAACATATAAGTGAAATGTTTTCATATCAGCGTCTGATAATTAATTGGAGACAAGATTTGTCAGAGTTTTGTGTTTTAAATTAACATAAATAAATTTAAGTAAGAACTGGTTTGCACCACTTTTAGTTACATATTAATGTGTCAATATAAAAATAATTGGTAAATTATAAGTGGCTGCTCTGTGGCTCTAAAGTATCGTATTTATATTATGGGGGCTTTTTTGTTTTCTTTTTTTAAAGTTCTTCCTAAGGAGAATATAAAAATATATGGTGGCTATCATTTAAAATTTATTGATTTACTTGCAGAGCTTTCAGAGGATGTAATGTGTTTGTTGTTCATTAAATGTTCAATGCTGTAATTTTATGTAATCTAAAATGCCATCGATTATAAGAATTGCCATTATTTTGCATTCTGTTAAGAAAACACCACCAATAAAATATGACATAATGCTATCTTTCTTACCTGAATTTTTATTTATTAGAGGCCTCTCTTGTATACGTATATAGAGGGACAAAAAAGTGAAATACTGAGATATTGTCAAGACATTTGTACAGCTTCACATTCCAAGTCAAAGTTTTCTGAAGCACTTTCAACTCAGAGTTGTTGATATCCATGTTTCCCACCCACTGCCATCTGTACTCTCAAAATTATTGGTAAGGCTGCATTTCCTAAGGGTGTCCTACCACACACACCACTGTCTGGATTTTCCAGCAAGCTACAGATACCAGATACTCATTCTGCAAGTTTTGATGCTGAGGCTTTGCTATTAGACAAAACTCAGTTTCATTTTTGCCTCTGTTTAATCACATGTCCCTGGAAGATAGATGGCTTTTTTCAAAGTCGAGAGGTTTCTGATGAATTGATGTCATATTATCAAGTCAATATGAAAGTAATTTTTTGTTAAACCAGAAATGACTTGTCTGCCATCCTAAATTATGGTATTTGTATGTATGTGTACATGTTGTTTTTTTCTTTTTTCAAGGTTTCCCCAGGGAGAAAAAATGTATGATAGCTATTGTTTAACATTATTAATTTACTTGCCAAGCTTTCAGAGGATGTTATGTGCTTGTCATTCATTAAATGCTCAATACTGTATTTCACCTCATCTTAATTTTAATCATATCCTACACAATGTGTGGATTCTACTTTCTTTGAAATGTTATCTCTTCAAAGGATTTGTCAGTGTCTTTTGCCTTGAATTGTATTGCTTGCTGTGTAGTATCACATATGTCCCACCAACAGTGTACCAAACTCAACTGAAGTGGCAATCACAGGCACAGCTGTGATCACGTTCACAAATGAGCAAATAACTCCATGGTTATTGGTGCCTGGCTAGTAACTATTATAAAGTACTACCAATTGTAAGACACATTCTATTTTCAGAGACGTTGAAATGTGGGGGAAAAAAGAATGATTAGGAAATGATTCTAACCTAAGTGTTTTATTGAAAGAGTCTAGAAGAAAAAAAAAAAAAAAAAGCAGCAAGTCACTTTTAAATTCCATAAATTCCACCCCTGAGTGTAGTGTACATGTTGATGGGTTGAGGAGGAAAGTATTTTCGATAAGAAATGACTAAATTTTGTGTTGACAGTTTTTCAGACTTTTCATTTATCTTCCCAATAAAAAAAATGCAGTCTTTTTTTTTTCTGAGTTATATTAGGAATAGAAAAAGTAAATCCTTCATATCTAAGTATGAAATTAAACATTTCCTCTTGATTTGTAATTTATATTTCATAAAATCATGGCACTTAAATCATGTATCCTCAGGTTTATAAAGGATTGCTATTGTTGGTAACTAATTTCATTCCAAAAACATCCATTATTTAATTGTTAACAGTGGTCAAGAAGGGCATGGAAAAGATACAGCGTTTGGTAATAATCCTCTACCTTAGGCATTTATTAGCTAAACTAAGCAAAACAGACATAAAGATTATGTATCAGTGTATACTGAGGGAAGTAACGCTTAAAAATTCCAAGTCATCTCTGAAAGCAACAAAAATTTGACAGCGTGAATCCAGTCTCAACTCCCATGACCTGTGGTGATCTAGATCTAAGTTAAACTCCCAATGTAATGAAAAGATTACCAAATCCAACAACAGAACCAAAATCAACACTTCTCCTGCTGCAAAAGGTAAGCATGGCCGTCACATACAGCTGCTGAATACAAGGATATTTGAGAAAGTTCATAGAGAGGATTAAAAGGTAAAACATGTCTTTTCATGAACTTTTTGAAGACCCCTTGTACATAACACAAAATCAGAGAGGGCATTCATATATATCATGATGTCTTCTGGACTTGAGCAACTTGGAGGCCCAGACTGAAGGCACTTAAACTAGTTTACCATTATTGAGAGAAAATACACCCTTCCAAAATTGTTATTAATATGTTCAAAGCTGTCTAAAGTATTTCATATGCTCTTTTTGTTGTTGTTCAGCTAAATAAAACTAAATCTTCATCTGTGTCAATAATTAAATTACTCTTATTAAAGAAAGACCTTTTAAATTTAGTATAAGAAAAATAACTGAAGCAACCATTTTCGACTTAGTTTAACTTGATATTTTTTTTTGCCTTTCTAATTTTGTTCAGATAAAGCCAATTTCTATTGATGTTGAGAAATACAACTTCTATTATTTATACTTAGTAGAATTATATTAATATTTCTTGTATTGAACTTTGTCAGGGTTTTTTTTTTTTTCTCCTCCTTGTCTCCAGTACCAGTGTGCTAAACTCTATATAACTTAATAGTGTTCTTCATGCTCCCATTTGTCTATAGAAATATCTAATTAGGGTGTGTGTGTGTGTGTGTGTGTGTGTGTGTGTGTGTGTGTGTAAAATGAAAGATGATTATACCAGTGTGGCTGGAGAGTACTGTTCTGTTCCTGGTAGAGATATCTACATGAGCCACAATAAACTGAACTTGCCACATCATTCAAACTTATCAATTTGGCTGTGATTTAGTAGATCACAATTTTGGGTCAGATCAAAATTTGGGGTAAAATTGCTGATTTCCTAGTGCATTGATATCTGGAGGATTGGAAGTGAGGCATGATGATGCCAGTGAATTAGTCACAATTACCATCCACCTGTAAAGCAGCTTGATTGTTGACATTTGTGTCTAAAGATGGTCATTACAAGGGCATTATTGCCCATGCAGGTAAGTGATTGAAACTAAGACAGTTAATGTTTCTGAGCTGGTTGGAAGAATAGTCCATCTTTTTCAAGCCTCTAACTACAGGGATCTCTTAGCCATCCAGCATATAGATTTTAACCAAACAGAGCAATTCATTTCTGGAGACTGGTGCAATCCATCTACTGGTGTCATTTCTTAGCTATCTGTGTTAGAATTATACTTCAATTGTGCTTCAATGCATTGCTGAAACAATCTAAACTGCATTCTTTTGGCACTGTTTTATGATGTGCTACTGATCTGCTTGTTGAATCTCCAGACTCCTTAAAGGCTTTTAAAATCTTTGCTATAACCAACACTCTGTGGCTAAGTAATCTTCACATGTGAATGATTTATTTCTTTTCTTCACCAGTATCCATTCTTTTTTTTCTCTGCAGAACATTCAGATGGTTCAAGTTAGTTTTAATTTACCACTTCCTTGTAGGAGTGCCACATTGCCCAGAAAAGAATTAAAGCATTTACATCCTGAGGCAAAAATCTTTTAAAACAACAACTCTTATGAAGTAAGTGTTTATTTCATTTGCAGGCTGAGAAATGTTGCACTGCTCAATGAAGTTTTACATGATTGGTTTCTTTCCTATTATTTTTAGCCTTGGGGTTTGAGAAAGTAAATTATATCCACCAGAGGTTTCAAATATTTTTAGTAAAATCTAGAACTATAAAACTTTGACTATACAAAGAAATAATTATGATCATGACGAGTGGTCCAAGGGTACATTTTAAATATACAGGCACACTGGCAAGGTCATAAATTAACTTATAAAATTCACTAATTATATATCACTGGAATCAATTTTTTATGAAATTTAATAAGAAAGATCATCACTCATTATAATTGGTTAAAGTTGATAAAGCTTCTAATGATCCATTATCCAGTCAAATCAGGGGCTGTCTATGGAAGCTTGTATGTAAGAAGGAAGTGTAGAGTTTCAGAGAATTTTTTTTCATTTGTTACAAGTGCTGATGCTTAATAAAAAAGAAATATTATGACAGTAAGAGAAGAAGCAATTTGCAAACTTATCCATGTTTGTTTGTATGTGCAATCTATCTCTCTCTATACTTGTATCTCTAGACTACAAACATGCTGTAATTTCCCATAACATAAAAATAAATAAGCCACAAGAAAGACAAAACTTCTCTTAGCCATATTATTTCATCATGATGCAGTCTATGTTATATGTTCTATTTACAATGTTTTTGAAGTTGTCTCTACTGACCATTATAATATGTCCAACACTGAATTCTAGATTCAGATACACACCTGCCTGCTTCATATTCCTCACTTACTAGAAAAAATTAGGCGTTTCCATTTAGAGAGCTCTATCCTAATTATTTTTTTTATCTCGATAAATAACCCTATTGTTCAACAAACTGCTCAAGGCAAAAACCTGGGAATCATCCATGACTCCTCTCTTACATACTTTCCCTCAACCTTTCCATCCAATTCTTCAGCAAGTGCTATCTATACAGTCAAAATTCATCCACTTCTCTCAACTCCTACTGAGCTACCACTGTTATCTAACTAATGCAGTAGTTTTTTTTTTTTTTCAATCTCGTAATACCTTCTTATATGGAGTAATGGACTATTATCTGAATTTTACGATTGTGCATGAACACAAAGTTGCAGAGAGACTGTAAAGGGAAGGTATTTTAAAAGATTAACATTGAGTTATAGTGGGTGTAGAGAGGAAAAGGAGTATTGTGGGCATTTCAACCTTGCTTCAGTAATTTGTTCTGTTTTTATATCCCGTTTTGCTCCCCTGCAGACTGCCTTTTAGTATGATGATTCATACTACTTTCTAACATTCTACACTTTTATTTCTATGAAGTTTTGCCTAGTGATAGTCTACAATCTCTTTACCTCACATGTTGTTGTTTTTTCCTTTTATATATTTAGTATGTGTAATGAAAGGATAGCTGGAATTTGTCTTCCCCTTCAGATAAAGTAAACATTAGCTCAGCTTATATTCTAAACCCCATACATGTCCAAAGCTTCTCCCAAATATCTGTGAAATTCCTAGAGATCATATAACTTCACAATCGGATCGCCTTTGGCTATAAGCTTCCATTTCTGGTGAATGAATTCTATTTGAGCTTGCATGTGATTTTCTCACAATGCTGTGAATTAAGTGCCTATTTTTCACTATGTGAGTCTCAAACTTTACCTCTTTCCCACACATACCACATCACCCTACTCCCTCCAGGGAAAAAAAAAAAAAAAAAAGAGCCCTTTTCACACAAATTGTCTGTGCAACAAATATCTC